TTTCAGCTTCAGCATCAGTCCTTCCAATGAATGTTCAAGGTTGATTTCGTTTAGGATTGACTGGTTGGATCTCCTTGCAGTCCAAGGGACTCTCAAGAGTCTTCTCCAACACCACAGTTCAAAAGTGTCAATTCTTCCATGCTCAGCCTTCTTTGTGGTCCAGTTCTCACATCTGTACATGACTATTGGAAAAACCATAGTTTTGACTAGATGGACCTTTGTTGGCAAAGTAATATCTCTGCTTTTTAATATGTTGTCTAGGTTGGTCATAGCTTTTCTTCCAAGGAGCAAGGGTCTTTTAATTTCATGGTTGTAGTCACCATCTACAGTGATCTTGGAGTCCAAGAAAATAAACTCTGTCACTGTTTCCATTGTTTCCCCATTTATTTACCATGAAGTGATGGGACCAGATGCCATGATCTTCATTTTCTGAATGTTGAGTTTTAAGCCAGCTTTTTTATTAGCAGGAGCATTTTAAAACAAACATCACAACCCCCACAGGCAGTGGTTGAGAAAGGAGCTCTGGCCCTCCCCAAGAGGCACCCTCAGGCCTTGTGTCTCCCCACCTACCCATCCTCTGCCAAATCCTAACTCTTGCCTGCCTTGGCAGCCCAAAGTTCTGAGCAGTGCCTTGGCTTGGGCCTGATTCATCTTGGAATCTGGGATGCTGGGTGATGGAGAGAAGTCCTGAGGTCATTAGCAGTGAGGGGAGGCTCCTTTTTAATCCCCCTCCACCCAAGAGGCAGGAGGAGTAAAACTGTATATCTTCTGCATCTCATCCTTTGTCTCGGCTTCCCTAAGGTCTCTGCTAAATCCAGCCCTTCTTTCCCCCATCCTAGCGTGACTACATAAGTCTCCCATTCCTCTTCTCTGCAGCCTCTCTTCCTCCAAGCATTCCACTGGCCCCAGCTCTCCCTGCAGGCGTCCCTTGGGTCCCTGAGACTGCTGATAATCATCAAGCTGGGCCTGGCATTCCTGGCCTCAGCCAAGATTTATTGGCCTAGCCCTGCCCAGAGCCTAGGACAGTGCAGGCAGAAGGAGGACCTGGTGCCTAGAGGCAGCTGCCCAGGACCTGTGTCTAGAAGGGCCAGGTAGAGATGATGCTTTGGGGCTGCTTCATATCCCCTGCTCCCACTATCCCAGAGGGCCTCTGCTTACCTGCCCCAGGAAATTCTCTCAGCTCCAAGGCCCCTGGATTGGGAGAGGGGGTGGGGAACAAATCTCACTAGTTAGTTCTCCCATGTTTCCTCTTGCTCTCGCTTCTACCTAAAGACAGTCCGCCCTGCTTCTCTCTGCCCACCCCCTCGCCACCCACCCACAGGCCTGCCTGCCAGGTCCCAGGCTGAGGAATGGCTATTAATTATTAAAGCAAACAAAAGCATTTCCTAGCAGGGAGGCTAGCCTGCAGCTACTTACAGGAAAGGCAGCCCCAGTTGGCTTCCCTTTCAGGGCGCTGCTCGTGTTCTGGGACCAGCTCACGGGTGAGGGCTAGCCTTGGTCCTCCAGGAGTGTACCCAGGCTGGGAGTCACATCAGGAGAGAACTGAATTGCTTCTGTGCTGAGCACCCCAGCAAGACCTTGTGGGTCTGCAGGGGAGTCCAGAGAAGGTGGGCTAGGGCTGGGGTATGGGTCTCTAGTCCTGTTGGACCAGCGGAGGGATGGTCATGGCAAGGGCCAGGGATTCTTGGGCAGAGTTCCCCACTGGGAAGACCCTGCCAGCCCAATGCTCCAGCCTTCCCTATCACCTCCAGGGTATGGTATGCAGCCTCTCTTTTCTCCCACCTCTCTTTCACTTAGAACTTTCCTTCCTGTTGGCAGATCTTCCCTCACTGATCTTAGCAGGCTCTGGGCCTTCTCCTCCTCCATCTTCTGAAAAACCTTGGTGCTGCAAAGCTGGGCAGCAGTAGCTGTTCCAGTACCTGGTTCCTGCGATCAGGTGGACCACCAATGTGAACCGGGGACTCTACCAAAACAGACTTGGTAACCTTCTAACACACACTCCTGCTTCCTTCAGCAGATACTCATTACCCCCCTGACTGCTCAATCCTGGTGCCGAGGACCACCATCCAGGCCCTAAAGGAAGGTGTAGGCTGGCTGGGCAAGGAAGTCCAGGACAGCAGGGCACAGCTGACTCTGGCCTGTAACAAGCATCCTTAGACAGCACTTAGAACTACTCCCCTGGGCTGGGTGAGAGGGCAGAGAGAGAGAAGGCGCTGGGGGGAGGGGCCCAGAGGTGGTAAAATTTTATCCAGTGCGTGAATGGGTCCTGGGAGCAGAGGAAGTGTTTCAGGAGACATTGCTGAATGCCGAGTGTCACACAGAGGCTGAGAGGAAGCTTGGGATCAGACTGTGATGGGCCTTGAATGCTGAGTGTCTGGGAGGAATTGGGGAGGTGGGGGGGGGGGCGGTCACTGAAGCTTTTAATTGGGGAGGGACACGATCAGAGAAAAGTTCTTTGGAAATTTTTTTTGGTCCCCTATGTGGCAGATGCTTTGGGGGGTGTGGTGAGAGGCTGGGGCAGTGGACTAGCAGGCTGAAGTGATACACTGGGATAGGTTAACTTCAAGCCAGGGAGGAAAGTCTTGGAGGGCACGTCTTTGTGTTGAGTATGTATCATGGTTAAGAGCTGGCAGTGGGCATTGTGATTAGGAATAGGATATGGAGGGACCATCCAGAAGCCCTGACAAACAAGCGGCTGTGGGGTGAAGGCATAGAACACATCAAAGACAGCTGTCAGACCCCAGGCAGCCTTGCAGGGAATGTTCCAGAGCAAGTTCTTCTGAGACAGAGGGAGTGGAGCCTGTGGAGGTAGAAGGGCAGGGCAGGGAAAGGAATTCCTGTCATTGAGGTTTTAGGATGAAAAGACCCGAACAGAGGACTGATGAAGGATTAAGAGCCAACCAGTGAGATGATGGCACCTTAGGAAGAGTAAGAAGGGAGTATCCCCCCTACCTGCTCCACTTGGCGCCCAGAGGCAACCAAAGGTGTGGGGACTCCCAATCTGTGTTCTGAGACAGAGAAGTCTCTGGATTTAGAGATAAGCAGTCAGGCCTGAAGAAATGCCTCTCTTCAAATTGGGGGTGGGAGGGTGGGCATTCTTAGTCCTGGTGATGTGGCCCTGAGGACTCAGACTGGACACGTCCCCCTTACTCAAGACCTCTTCCCTATGTGCAGACAACACTGCTAATGCTCCATCTTGTGGGAGGAGCCTCATCTCCACACTTCCTAAACCTACACAGGATACAAGTGCTTCCTCCTCATCAAACCTGCTGGCAGGGTCAGAGGGGAAGGTCAGAGACAAATAGGAACCATAAACCCTGAGGCCCTAATGGAACCCTCCATCCACTCCTACAAGCTCTCACCACACAGCCAGTGATGGAGAAAAAGAAAAGAAATTGACCACTTCAAATTAAATGAGGGCTTTCCTCATAGCTTAGTCAGTAAGGAATCTGCCAGGAATGCAGGACCTGGGTTCAATTCCTGGGTCAGGAAGATCCCCTGGAGAAGGAAATGGTAACCCACTCCAGTATTCTTGCCAGGAGAATCCCATAGACAGAAGAGCCTGGTAGGCTACAGTCCATGGGGTCACAAGAGTCGGACATGACTTAGTGACTAAACCATCACAAGTTAAATGAAAGACCAGAACCAACAGAAAAACAAGCAGGATACAGAACTGTACGTATAACACAAGAAAACAAAAATGTCAATGGGAAGGAAATACATTAAAATATTGACAGTTTGTTGTATTAGAGAGGTGGGGTTTTTGTTTTCTATTTTCATTTTTTTCCCCCTGGAATATAGTTACATCATGAGCGAAAGTATGGAAATTGATTCAAAGACAAGATCCTTTCTCTTCCTGAAGAGGTGAGCCCGGTAGAGAAGCCCCAGTGATCCCTCTGGACAGTCATGAAAGGACAGGAGTGCAGGAACACCATTCAGTTTGAACTTGAAACAAAGTGTGTGTCTGTTAAGAGGTTAGGTTGGGGTTGGTGGTGAGGTGGTATCCCTGAACAGGACTGGGGATGTGAATGTGTGGCTGGCGTTCAGGTCTAGCCTGCCCTGAAACCTCCCAGCAGAATCCTTTCCAGCAGCTGGACGAGCAGTTGCTCAGACCTCTGGAAAGTTCAGCTCCTACGTGCCGCAGGTGTCTGCAGAGGCACCACCTCCTTAGTCCCAGCCACTGAGATCTCCAAGTAGGATGTCCATCCTCCCCTCCCCTTGTTCACAACTGAGGATACAAAAAGCCCAGAGCCCAGGTGTTGGTGGGGGGCGGGGGAGGGGAAGGCAGGTCCATAAACCTTTATACTTCCTTTCTAAATCCAGGAGTCCATCCCCCACCCAGGCTCCTGCGCAGACTCCTGCAGAGGAGTCAGAGGAGATGGGCGTGGGTGCTGGGTTCCTAGGGACCCCTTGCCTTGGGTAGGACCCACCAGAAAAACATCTGGCGAACCTGCCCCATCCTCAGTCCCGATCATTCCACCAAGCCGATTGCCCACCTCATCTCTTCCCCACTCTTCAGCCTGCAGCCGCTTCGCCGGCTCCCGCACACCCCCATCCGCCAACTCTGAGGGATTAGAGAAAGCAGTAAGGTGGCTGGGTTTTGTGCCTGTCCTGGCAGAGATCCGTGGAACTGGACAAGTAGGGGCACTTAAGCTCCCTGAGAAGGAAGGGCCAGGAATTTCTTGACGACTGGTGGCTGGGGGACTGCAGGGAGCCGGGAGAATTCCTCCTCTTGAGCCACGGACCGCTGGGCACGCGAGCGATAGTCAGAAATCAGAGTCAGGACATCCAGGAGTGGAGGCAGAAGCCCCGCCCCGGCTTCCCCCTCCCCCCATCCTCTGGAAGAAGCAGACACTCAGGGCAGGGTGGGCGCAAGAGCTTGCTGGGACAGTGCAGAGTTAGGGCTCCGTCCAACCCTTCGCCCAGCAGTTCCGCAAGCTGAGCGAAGGCGGCGCAGAGCCGTCCAACCGGAGCGCGCCGGGTCGCGTCCGAACGCTTACCTCTGCGCCGCGGTGCTAGCGTCCAGGATGCCCGCGCCCTGCATCCAGGAGCGCACCGAGCCCAGCCCCGCGGGCAGCAGCGGCTCCTCCTTCAGGTTCAGCCCGCCGCGGGGCAGAGCGTCCTGAGCAGGGAACATAAGGGCGCGCAGTCAGTGGGCGCCCTCACCGCCGGGGATCCGATCCCGCCGAGGCTGCGAGGCGTCCTAGCTCCGCGCGCCTAACGGCACCCGGCGACTGCAGGAGCGCAAGCAGCGCCCGTCCCGGCCACTCAGTGCGCGCCAGCCTCCTGGGCGCTCCCTCGGAGAAAGCGGGTCCGCGAGCGCTGTCCCCTCCCCTCCCCGGGCGCGGGGCGGGGAGATGGAGGGATTTCCCCGCGGCCTGAGCGCCAGCGGGCGGATTGCGCGCGGGGCGGGGAGGGCGGGGAGCGGAGCCGGCAGCCGGTCCGCGCAGAGGCGCGCTCTGGCGGCTGCCCAGGGCCGCGGTCGTCGGAGGGGGTGGGGGGGCTCAAGGCCCCCGGGAACTGCCTCAGGCGAGGCGGGGGCGCGGGGCTGCCCGCCCTTTCCCCTCGCCGCCCCCACCCCCCGCTCGCCCGCCCGCCCGCGGCGCCGGCGCGGGGCGCTGATTACCATCCGGGAGGAGGAGGCTGCGGGCGCGGAGCTCGGCGGCGGCGGTGGCGGCAGGAACAGCAGCAGCCGCGCGTCCCGAGGAAAGACAGGGGCAGCGCTGGGCCAGCAGACACCGCCGGCGCCCCGCGTGCCCCGGCGCCCCGGCCCTGCCGCAGCCCCGGGCGGCAGCACCTGGAGCAGCAGCAGTAGCAGCCCGGCCGACTCCCCCCGGGGCCCGGTTCCCGCGCTGCCCCGCCGCGGCCGCCGCCGCCCGCCGCTCCCCGGGGCCTGGCCGCGGGCCCGGGCCATCCCGCCGCCGCCGCCGCCGCCGCCGCCGCTCCCTGGGGAGCGGGAGCAGAAGGGAGGGAGCGCGGGCGGGAGGAGGGATGGCGGGAGCGGGCGGGCCCAGGGGACTGGGGGCCAGGGGAGGCGGGGGCGGGGCGGCGCGGCCGGCCGAGGGGCGGCCAGGGACGTGACATCATCGGGGGAGGAGCGGCCGGGCCCGGGCCGCCGCGGCGGGGCGGACCCTGGCGAGTCGGTCGCCGGCGCTGGGGTCTGCGGCCTGACCGAGGCCGCGGGAAGGGACTGGAGGGACCAGCGTGGACCCGGGAGGCCCAGGCAAGGAGCACACGGGCCTGCGCGGCGGGGGAGCCCGGCCGAAGCCGGAGGAGCGAGCGACCCTGCGTTCAGAATCCGCCGCCGCCTCTAGGTCGCCACTGGACGAAGCCCGGGCTTGGTCTCCGCTATCTTCGTCTCCCAAGTACCCGCCGCACTCTCGGCGCTGACGCCCAGTTCCTGCACTTGCCGCTCAATTCGACGCCTTCCAGCTTTTACTCTTGATGTTCTTTGCTCTCCCGGGCCGTCCTTCCCGCCTTTCCCTGACCTCGGTTTCACCTCAGCCTGGCTCTCAAACCTCTCTCCCTTAGGCTGGGCCCCAGATGGGCAGAACGCAGTCGCTGCACCCATCACACTTAGTTCAGTCCGTGACTTGCCTAAAACTAAAGCATTCTCGTTTCCAACCTCTGCCTTTCAAATCCCTCATAGGTTTTGATGAGAGTTGGATCCTGAGTTAGGTAGGATTCACTTCCTCTTGCTCCCCAGCCAGAGAATTTTCCCTCTTAGATTTCATGCCTCTTAGTTCCCCGCCCAGAAATCATCTCACCCTTGACCCCAGGGCTGAGCCATTTCTACCCTTCTCCCCACATTTTGGCCTGGTGTGTCCTGGCCAAGCTTTGAACAAGCTCAAAAAGAGTCCAGCACTTTCCAGCAGAAGAGCATGGGGTTGGCCTGTCCAGCCTGCTGCTTCATTCAGACACCCCTGGAATATCTCTTTTCTGCCCCATCTGACTCCCATCCTTTTTTGGGGAGCTTCCAAATGTGCAGTTAGTGGTCCACCCCATAAGGATCCAAATGAGGTCCAGAGCCACTGCTGAGCTTCCTACCACCCTAGAGGCACACCCCTCCCCCTGTACCTCCTTTCCTGACCGCCATCCTCTACCATCTCTCTCTCCACCACCCTCCCTCACATGCCTGGGCTGTCACTCCCACTCAGCCTTCTCAAGGTCTCAATTTTTACCCCAGGTGAGATTAGCAAAGCTAGTCTCCCCTGAAGATGAATTCTTACGCCAGTCTTTTTCTCCATCTCCTTATCCGACTCTAAATCCTTGCTCCTCCCAGTGTGGTCCTTCAACCAGCAGCTTCAGCATTAGCGAGAGCTTGTTAGAAATGCAGACTCCTTGCCCAGACCTGCTAAATCAGAACCTACTTTTTACCATGATCCCAGGTGACTGGCATGCACATTACACTTGAGAAGCAGTGCTCTAGAGAAACCCCCAAGGCTGATCCATACTTGCTCCAACCCTCTCCCCAACCTTCAAACCTGCCTCTGGCTCTAAATTTCCAGCAGACAACCTACCTGTTATTTACTGGAGAAATTACATGGAATCTTGGCAGAATCCTGCTGTCTTTCTCAGCTGTCTATGTTTTTCCTCCTTTCTCAGTCTTCTCACCCATCCTCTTTCCCTCTTTGTCCCAGAGAAGCATGTGGGCTTAGGGACCTCTTTGCTCAGTCCCTTCTTCTGCACCTCCTGATGTTGTTCCATCTGATCTGTCTGACTGTTGATCCTCCTTCTTTCCTCTGCTCAGACCTCCTCATTCTTAAAAGAACCCTCCTTTTGTCCCCGCCTCCTCCTCCTCCAACTTGTGCCCCTCCTGTTTCTAAGAAAGTCCACAGGCTTACTCCACCAAGGCTGCCTTGTCAGCACCCAGCAAGCCACTCTTGAAACCCTCATAGTCTGACTCCCTTCCAGCTTTGCTGCTGTTTGTTCCTCTCTCTGACCCCCGTGCAGCACTGGGCTCTGCACCTGCCTTGTTCACACACTTGAGAAGGCCATCCTGATGACCAAAGCATACCATCTCTCCTCTTATCCCTTGGTGTGCCCCAGCCTGCTGTGTGGTGCTCCCTTCTCCCTTTCTTCTTTCAGAGAACTCAGGCTTTTCCATAGTCTCAGAGCCCATCTTTGAGGAAACGATGTCCTAGTGTGGGCCTGCATCTGCTTCTGTTGGCCCTTAACACCCACTGGTGAGGACAGAGCTGGCCTTGACCCATGGAGAGGAGGAGCGACCCTCTCCCAAGTAGATCTGCCCTTGAGCTGGAGTTGGGACCACTTCATCTCCACGTGCCCAGGCCACACTCATGCCCATTCCCCACAAACCAGCTCTTCATCTGCGGCTCTAGGTCATGAGGGTACCAATTGGACCCAGCAAGTAGAAAGTCATTGGGCAAATTCTAGGTCAGTTTTTGGAGTCAGAATTAGGTATTTCTGCTTTAGATCCAGCAAGTCTGTCTCTTGGAACTCTTTGTTTTTATTTTGTATTGTTTATCTTAGTTCCTTTGACAAAATTCTCTCAAACTGTTGTAGTTTCATGAGAAAGGGCTTTGGGGGCCTGTTGGAGCTGTGTTCACAGAGAGCTATAGGGGTGGTGGTGATGGAAGATGCTGGTCCCAGGCTGCCAGAGAATCTTCGCTTTAAGATTTCATTCCTCTTTTTCCTGGCCCAGAAATCATCTTGCCCTTGACTTGATGGCCGAGACATTTATGCCTCTTTCCCCACATTCTGGCCTGGTGTGTCCTGGCTAGGCGTTGAACAAGCCCAAATCGATAGAGAATGTCTTCCTGGTCCAGGCAGAGGCTCACCATAGACCACCAGCCCAGAGCCTCTCACCTCATCCTTCTCCATCATGGACATTTGTGCTTATCCCACAGAGAGGGCTCTTGTCATGTGCCTGGTGCTAGATGATAAGCAAAGCCTAAAACACAGGCTGTATCCTTATGGGTACCACAGTGTGGTGGTCGGAGATGTGTAAATTCTCAGTGTCACTTCAGAGTGACCTGGGCTGCTGGAAAAGATGCAGGTGCAAGTACTTGGACCAGCACAGAAGGGCCTGAGCCTGAGAGGAGAGAAGCAGTCTGGGGCAGAGGATCACCATCTGTAAAGACTAGCAGAGTGGGTTTGTAGCACTTGCTTCAAAGTAGAAGTTTTAGCACCTGGAACATCACGCTTGTGCTTAGGATTCCATGCTGAGGAGCTTGGGCTTTTTCCTATAGGCATGGGCCTTAAAACAATATTTAAAAAATCTGCAGAACCCCCTCCTTTCTCTAAAAGTTAGAGTGCAACACCATAGCAAACAAATCCAAAGTGGTGTTTTAGGCAGAAGTGCCCTTGACCAGACTGTGTTGGGCCATAGCGCCCCCTGGAGGCTCCAGAGTGTTAGCTCAGCACTTGGATCCACTTCATGACAACTTCCCTTCCCTGATGGGAATTAAAGTATAGGAAGAATTTAAAAACTAAAGCATGCACTAGATGTGACTGTTCATATAGTTCTATGAAGAGACAAAAATGGCTAGGGCCATCACAAAAGGCTTCCTGGTGGGCATGCCCCAGCTCTTAGCCTTCCTCTCTGTTGTCTCCTGAGGTCTCTTCAACTGCTCTAGGGAAACCTGCACTGCATGTGTTATTTGACCTTAGGATGATTCATCATTCTATCTCCCACACTGAGGCTGAGTTATTCAGTCTTATATAATGATAAAAGTACTGGTGGTTAGTTTGTCAGGAGTGTTGTACTCCCACCTTCATTCAGTCTCTGGGCTGGAGCAAAGGCTGTGTGTCCCTCAATATTCCAAGTTGTCCACATCCTTTCCAAACACAAACCATCTTGAAGACAACCAATCTCAATTTCAGTCCCCATTGAGGAAGAGGAATGGAACCATTCTCTTGTGGAGCAAGTTCTCCACAGGGCTGACCCTTTGTTCACCCTCCATCTTTCAGAGAAGGTTCAGGAACTGCAGGTTTCTAACCTAAAGCTGTATTTGCACTAGCATTATCCCCGAAGGGCTGCCCCTTAGCTACCCACAGCAGTGGTGGAAAATTTGAAATGATTGTGTGTGTGTGTGTGTGTGTGTGTGTATATATATATATATAGCCTCCCCCCCCCAATTGTGTAAGCTTCAGTCAGCAGGGAGGAAGGCTACTAAATCTTCCCTTAGGATCTGGAGTTGAGTAGGAACAGGAATAGTTAGGTACTCACATACTCAGTCCCATGATATTCTGTTTCTCTTTGTCCCTGACTCATCTTAACCACTTCTTCACCCCCAAAACATCTGCCATGCTCTTTGAACCCTTCTTTCTAATTAGCCAATTTCCTCACATTCTCACCATTTCTTTAAATGGTTTCTCTCATCACTAGCCTTAACTGAAACCTGATGTCACCTGTTACAGACTGAATGTTTATGTCCCTTGAAAATTAATATGTTGGAGCCCTAGCTTCCAATGTGACTATATTCAGAGACAGGCCCTGTAAGGAGAGGATAAAGGTCAAATGAGGTCATAAGGATGGTCCTGACTTGATAGGACTGTGCCATTATAAGAAGAGGAAGAAATAACAGAGTTTTCTGCCTCATGTGAGGACACAGCAAGAAAGCAGTCATTTGCAAGCCAGGAAGAGAGTCATGTTATCAGATCAAACTCGGATTTGCTCTCCTGGTGTTCAGCAAAGCAAATCTACTGACATTCAGGAGTGGTGATGGAAAGTACAGCCTTTATTTGCATGGCACCAAATAAGGAGAATTGGTAGCTAATGCTCAAAAGACCCAAACTCCTTGATGTTTTTTAGGGAAGAGTTTTTTAAAGGCAACATTGGAGTGAGGGTTGCAAGGTGCATGATGTGCTCATGGAAATTCTTCTGATTGGTTAGTGGTGAGGTAGCAGGGTGTTTCAAGAATCGTTTGTCGTTTATCTCCTGATTCTAACAAGTCTGAGGTCTTTATGCTTGTGGTCAGCAGTTTCTATGGAGGGGGGTGGTAAAACAACTTGAGTAAAACAACTCAAGAATATGTGTCAGATTGTTCCTCCTCCCTTGAGGAGGAACTAGGGGTCCTGTGACTGTTTTATGGCTGAACTATTGCTTAAGTTATTATCACTTTTCTTGTTTGACTGATTTTCCTTTATTCTCTGCATTCCCTCGCTTCTCTGACTAGTAACTACTTGAGTCTGCTCCTTGGAATTCAAGGAAGGCCTGGGTTATTAAAACCCTCTTCTTCTTCTTTATTTTTTACAAACAGGAACTGGGGAACACAGAGCGATCTTTATAGGCTCCTGCTCAGTTTCACTCACCAGAAACTGAATTGACTAGTGCCTTGATCCTGAACTACCTAGCC